TCTCTCTCTCTCTCTCTCTCTCTCTCTCTCTCTCTAGGCTTGTTTGTTAAGCCATTTTCTCTCTCTTTCTCTCTCTCAGCCCTCAGCTCTCTCTGTATCTCACTCAGTCTCATACATACTCTCTCTTCAGCCATTACTCTCCCTCTCTCTCAGCCCTCAGCTCTCTCTGTATCTCACTCAGTCGCATACATACTCTCTCTTCAGCCATTACTCTCCCTCTCTCTCTACACTCACTCATAAATCTCTCTGTCTCTCTGGCCATTAACTCTCTCTCTCTCTCTAGCCATTAACTCTCTCTCGTGAACATAAAAGTCCTAACTTGTGTCATATGCACAATACGAGTGCATCAGTGCCTAGCCTCTCCCCTTCATACTTTTTGCTCATGGTGTCTCCATCACATGCCTTGCATGCATGAGTGTGAACATAAATCCGTGGATGACACTCAATGCAGGCTCATGCTTACGTATGTGTGTATAGATATATGCTTTCCATGCATGTATACATGCATAGGCATCACGTGACCAAGTGCTAATCCATCCTCATTACTAACCCTAAAAAAAGTGACACATATTAAGTCCTTTATGGTTACCGGCTCTTGGTGCAACCACAAAGCTACACCCCCTCCCTCTCTTTTCACTTCCATTTCACGAGCATCTCCTCACCATCAATTTAATTTATTTTTTTTTTTTTTCTTTTTTTCTTTTCCTCTCTTTTTTTTTTTTCCGGGTAAGTACCTACCTTCACTTGTTTTCCCAAGCAACATATGGGAGTTCACCTTACATGTTGACACTGCCCCCTCCTTTTTCCTCCAATTTTGACTTTTTTTTTTAACGATCCTTAGAGTGCCAGTTGGCATTGCAACATCATGACAAGTAGTCGAACCCCCACAGTCGTCGAAGCGTCACGGTTTGCCACTTGGCATGCACGTGTGAAGCCTTCTGTTTGGTATTGAACAATAGGTGGCGGCCACTTGGCACATCTGGAGAATGGTAGTACTGCCCGTACTGAGTCTTGAGCAAGTTCCAGAAAAGCTCTGATCAAAATCAGACTTGATGAGTAGGTATGTGGGCGATTTGGGTGTCCCCCATAATCGTTTGATATTATATTTATATGGGATTATCTATAAAGAGACCATTTATATTTTGTACATGTACGTTACAATTATTTCCACTCATTATATGTCAAATTGGATGGCTTGGGGTGAGTCAAGAAGTCTCAGATTATTATTTTTTGGAACTCTGTGTCATTCAATGATACTCTTACAACCATCGATTTTGAAATTTAAAAGACAATAATTATTGTGACCTCCATGTACAAAAGATAAATTATCTCTTTATAGACAATCCCTATCTATATTAATATTTTCTATTGATTTTATCCAATTTAGGCAATCCAAATCAATATACTGGGTGGGTGATCCATAACCTGATTCTGAGTTCTAAAACACTGGTATGAGCATAACATGTGACCTCTCCAAAGTATTGTTGTTGAATTCATTTGGGCTTCTGAAACCTCACTTCAGTCATTCGGTTTCCAAATCCACGCTGTACAACAATTTTGATAGCTCATCGAAATCATATATTAACGACTCAAAAAAAAGAAAGAAAGAGAAAATAAAGAATTCATATGACATGGGCCAAAGTATCTAGACTAAGAAACAAATCTGACTCTGAATGACTTAATCAAATTTCATATACTTCATTGAAAAGGAAAACTAAAAACTAATTTTTTTTTACTTTTGTGTAAAAAAGTTACTGTCACCCTTAGTTGTCATTTGTTAAATGGGGGTGTTGTACATACTAGTGACGGGGCTCAAAGCCTCAAAAAATTTCTTTGGACTTTGTGGGGGTAACGACAACTTGGCTATCCTGTGCATCGAAGTGCTGACGGTATTTGTGACCTTCGTGTACAAAAATAATGACCTCCATCATATATACAATTCCAATGGAAAACACTAGAAATGCCTTTAAAATTTTGTTTATTTATATGTAAATTTAAAGTTATTTATTATTTCACCATATAGCATTAGGTGTAATGGCAAGAGACAAAAGATTGTATTAATCCAGCTTTAGAGGGAAACAAGAGCAACAGACTCGCTAATATTGTTCAGGGAAAGAATGTGATTTGTTTGAATTCGCTGAAAAACATGGAGTTTTAAAGAGAAGGCCCCTGCATATTGTACTTTTGTGCTTGCATGTAAGAGGAATGATATCTAGAAAGATAACCTTTTAATCATTTTACTTGTAAAAGTAAGGTTGTGATGTTTTATATTAATTTTTTATTTGAAATATGTAGTTGTATTACTATCATAAAAGATGTGTCATATTTTGACATTATCTTAAAAGACGTATCAAATCTATACCGTCTAATTAAAATATATACTGTAGAATATTAGCAACCTTACTTCTAGAAGTGAGGCTGCAACCTTACATGATATGTACCCTTTATATGTTCATATTTGGTATAAGAAGTTCAGAATTACTTTTAATTGTTAAATGTGAAATTTAATAGCTTGGATGTACTACAAAGTTCAAGAGATTCTTTTGGGTTTTTGAGCCTAAACAACGGCACAAACCCAAGTACCCAATTTTATATCAAATAAATAATGGAAATTGTGACCTTTTCGTACCAAAAATAAATGATCTTATTGAATATTTTTTTTAATAGTGAAAGTGACCTTTTAGTTCTAATACAACTCAAAATATAGGGCCATTTTTCACGCACATGAGTCAAAATCAATGAAACATGATCAAGCGTTTCACAATGGATCGAAATAAATAAAGGAAATTACGAAGATATAGAAAATCAATAAATTTTTGAAGACATCTTTATGACATCGTGAGCTCTTTTATTTATTTACTCAATAAAGGAGCTCACGATGTCATAAAGGGGATCCTTTATTTATTTGTTTATTTATTATTTCACAATAAAAACTTTTGTTTAATTATGATTGTGAGTTCCTTGTTCTCTCTGACCCCGCCGATGCGCCTGAAAATGCTTTGGCCATGATGCTCTCTACTTGGGATTATTTCAAGGATTGGGGTAGGTTGACCTTCAAAGTTCCCTTGATGAGTGTCACTCATGAACAAAGGAAGTTGGCCCTCGTCTTGGCTACTTTCCCTGATATCCTTAGGGTCCCCCCCTTCTGCTGACTAAGTCTCCCACATTCTCTGATGAGGAATTGCCTAAAGATGTTGCGAATTAGTCGATCAAGGAGCACAAGAGGGGAATGGCTAGGATCTACGTTGTTAACCTTCTAGAGGGAATGAAAGTCAAGTTTAAAGGGGAGATCAGGCTCTTGGAGGAGACCATCGCCTCGGAGGATATCCCAGCTCTGTGCCCAAAATGAAGGTTGAGCTTGCTGCGGGTTAGAGGTTTAACCCCCTTACTTTTGGTGCTACAAGTGCCACGAGGAGGAGGAAAGGCTTCCGTCCTTAATGATCGTGCTCTCTTGGAACGTGCGTGAGCTAGAAGGAGGAGGGTGCTACGTCAGCTTCTTCGAAGATATAGACCTAACATTTTGTATTTGTAGGAAATCAAGCTCACCTCTTTTACTTTACCTCTACGTAGATCTTTTGGGGGTTCTCCCCCTATAGACTTTTTCTTTTATGCTTCTAATAGCGTCGAGGCCTTTTAACTATCTAGGACCCTTTTGTATTATCGGGGATTTTGGTTTGTTTATTTTTTTGTCACATTGTTGTATCTTTTACAGACGTTGATGGCTTTGCTTTCTGTGTATATAATATTTATGACCCTAATGTCAATAGGGAAAATGAGGAGTTTTTAAAATCCTTATTGAGTATTATCACTTCGTGTGGGACCTCGTAGTGTAGCGCCGGTGACTTTAATATGGTTAGGAGCCCATATGAAGTCTCTACTTGATCTACTCTCAACCCTTAGATGCTCTTGTTTGATTCTTTTGTTACTTCCCATCGTCTGTTTGATTATGAGATTGTCGACACCAAGTTTACTTGGTCCAACAACTCCTTTTCTGACCCGAAGATGTCCAAATTGGACCGCTTCCTTGTCATAGAAGGATGGGATTCTCATTTCCTGAAATCCCTGGTTAAGGAATCCCCTCACCTTGCGTATGATCATGTCCCTATTCTCATGGACACTTCTGCTTTGGTCTTTGAACCATCCCCCTTCCGATTTGAATTAATATGACTGGAAGATAAAACTTTCTTTGATATGGTTTGGATATCGTGGGAGTCTATTTGGATCTCTGGCTAGCATGGGTTTATTCTATCTATGAAACTTAAGGGGCTCAAAATTAAGCTTAAAGTTTGGGGGAGAAGCAACTACGGTAATATTGGTGACAAGATCAACTCAGTTGAAAGATCTCGTTTCTCAATGCTCTAGAACAGCCTGTTGCTGGACTGAGCCAGGACCAGTGCCGTGATAGGGAAATGAAAAAAGGGGACCTGCAAAACCTTCTTCATATGGAAGAAATTTTTTGGTTCCAAAGTTCTAGATCCAAATGGGTCAAACATGGCGATTTAAACACCAAGTATTTCCACTCCATGGCCAATTGCGGGCATTGATCTAACTATATTAGCGGTTTATTGATCCTTAAGATTGACATGGATAGCCCTGAGCATATTTAAAATTTCATTGTCAATCACTTCCATACTGCTTTCTCTTCGGAAAGCCGCATGCCTTTTAATAATCAGAATGTTGCTTTCAAAACTCTATCTGCTTCCTCTGCCGAGAGTCTTGAATGTGGTTTTTCTACTGATGAATTTAGGAAAGTTGTCTTCGATATGTCCAAGGACAAAGCTCCTGGCCCGAATGGTTTTTCCTTTGCCTTCTTTCAAGATTTCTAGGAAGTAGTCGAGTTGGATGTAATGGTTTGTATTCATCAGTTCTTTTGGGAAGGCTTTGTGAGCAATGCCATTAACTCCACCTTCATCTCCCTCATCCCCAATATGATTTCCATTGAGTCTCTTCAGGATATGAGGCCTATCAGTTTGCTGATAGCCTTGTATAAAATTCTTGCTAAAGTCCTAACTGACTTTGCAAGGTTTTGAATGAGGTCATTGAGGGCCTTCAAATGACCTTTATCAAGGATAGGTATATCATGGATGATATTTTTTGGCCCAAGAGACTATCCACTCAACCTAGTCTATAGGCTTGAAACATGTGCTTCTTAAGCTTGATTTTGAAAAAGCTTACGATCGTGTGGAGTAAGACTTTCTTGACAACAGTATGCAACTGATGGGTTTTGGGCTTACCTGGCGCAAATGGACATCTGGTTACCTCTCTTCGGCCCATTTCTCTGTTTTCATCAATGGCAAAGCCTATGGCTATTTTCACGCTTCCAGAGATCTTTGTCAAGGAGAACCTTTCTTGCATTTTCTATTTACTTTGGTAATCGAGGCCTTTAGCAAAATGCTTCAAGGGCTGGTTGATAGCGGTATTGTCCAAGTCCTTCTTGCCTGGCCAAATGGAATCATTCTCAGTCATTTGCAGTATGCTGATGACACATTGATTTTGCTTAAAGGCAAGGATGACAACATCCATAAGATCTGGTTGTTTTTAAAGCTCTATGAACTAATCTCTAGAGCAAGGATCAATATGGGTAAATCCAAAGCACTGGCAGTAACTGCCTCTCGACAGAATTGCGGACTAGGCTTCGTTGTTGGATTGTGATGTGGAATCCTTTCCAATTAAGTACTTGGTCCTGCCTCTCGTTAATGGCTCTTCTCCCAGGTCCCTATGGGACACTCTTATTCAATGAGTCCAAACCAAGCTTGATGGCTGGAAAGCGAGGTCCCTACCATTTGCATGTAGGTCAACCCTCATCAAAGCAACTCTCTTTAATCAACCGATTTATTAGCTGTCGCTGTCTCAGGCTCATGCTTTAGTGATCCATAAGATGGAAACTTTACAGAATTTTCTTTGGAGTGGGTCCCATCATAAAAGGAAATTTCATCTTGTCAAATGGACCTCTGTATGTCTCCCCAAGAGAGATAGGGGTCTAAGCATCCGCAGCTTAAGGGCGGTCAATGAATCTTTATTAACTAAATGGTGGTGGAGATTAGCAACTAACAAAGATCAACTTTGGCCGAGGGTTATTTTTGGGAAGTATGGGATGGATCCCAACGGATTCATTGCCAAGAAGTGCATCAGGTTGGACCGTCTTTCTCTTAAATGGAAAGGGATTCACGGTGTGAGATCTATATTCCTTGGCTTCTCAAGGATCCTACTTGGCGATGATCATCGTATTGTTTTTTGGCATATGTTAAGTGGTTGGATGACTACCCTCTGAAACTGCAATACCCTGACCTGTTAAATGGGTCTTCCCAAAAGCAGGAGAATAGGGTTTCCTTCTCTGGGGCAAATGGTGTGGAATGTTTGCTTCAACATCAGAAGGGTGGACAAGATCGTGGCAGACCAATATCAGTCATTACTTGCTAGACTGTATAATTTTTGCTACCAACCCCACATCGTAGATAAGATTATTTGGAGTTTGGAACCATGTGGAGTTTTCTTGGTGTGCTCTCTCTACAATGTTATTAGTAGATACCAATATTGAGGACTATCCTTATATTGCTAAATTTTGGAATTGCAATGTGCTTCACAGAGTTAAGACCTTTTGGCTCCTTGCCCTCAGGAGACTGCTTACCATCGACGACTGAGACGAAGGGAAATGATCCTCACCAATGTTTGCATCCTATGCAAATCGGAGGAAGAAACCATAGACCACCTCTTTATCCACTGCCCTTTCGTGCCGGCCTTGTGTGACTGGCTAGCCCTCACTACCAACTGAATTGCCCCAAGGCAAGATAACATTCTTGCCTTTCTTCAACCGCTTTGGGCTCCACCTTTCTCGTCCTTGGGCATCAAATTATGGAGAATTGCTACTGCAGCAGTATTATGGAACTTGTGGAAGGAACGAAACCTAAGGACCTTTGAAAGTCGGAGACGTGACCTCCCTACCTTCCTCCTGACCATCTAGTGATCCATTATGACTTGGGCTTACACTTTCTTACCTGTTAATGTCATTGCCAAGGAGTTCTTCTTTGCCCATTTCAAGAATCTTATAGTATTCAAATCTTCTTCTAGGTCTTTGAGAGGTGTATGGAAGCCTCCCCATGAGGGTTAGGTTAAGCATAACTTTGATGACAGGTTTGGCTGTGGGTTATGAGGGCTTTCTTCGTGATCACTTGGGGACCACAATTTGGACCATCCCAGGTCGACTTCATTCTTGTGAAATCAATGAAGCTTAACTTTGGGCCTTAACGATGGGAATGTTACATCTTGATCATTCTAACCTCAGAGTGCTTATTTTAGGTGATTCGACTAATCTTATAAATTGGTCCCTCAACCCATTTTCCACCCCGTGGTGCCTACATGCACTCATGCATGAAATCTTGCTCACTTTGAGAGATTTTCAAGTCCAATTCACCCATGTTGTCAGAGGTTTTAACTTCGATGCTGATTCCTTAACGAAATTGGCAACCTTTTGAGCTTGTTGTTGTTGTTGTTCTCTTTTCTTTCATTTCTTTTGTCATTTTTTTCTTTTTTTCTTTGTTTTTTTACTTGTTTGTATTTCATTTCATTATCTTAATGAAGCTCTCACTTACTCGAAAAAAAAAAAAAGACAAAAATCCATATCACTGACACCAATGTATTATATATTTATTTAGGGTGAGGTTTGTGTAGCCTTAAACAATCAAAGTTACGCACACCTTTAAATAGTGCCAAAAGATTTTTTTTAGTATAAAAACTCCTTGTAATGGTTCGACAATCTATTTTCATCTCTAATTTTAAAATTTAAAGGTTCAAAAAATAGTGTAGATCTATGAATACTAGAAAATCTTAAAAATTGATAGTTTAGATAATATGTTACAAGATTCACTATTCTTAGGATTTGAAATCCGTCATTTTTTTTTCACACTCATATATCTCAAGGTCAAGATGATCGATTGGACGTTTTTTTTGGCAACAAAACAACCTCTTTCAATGAGTTTTTAAGATGCGCTTTACTTTAATCATCTAAGGTTGATAGCTATAAGAAATAGATCATATATATTCTATCGCATAAATTATGCAGAACATAGTGAATCTAGGCCATAATGAATCTAGGCTGCTAGCTTACCACTACAGAAAACACTCAATAGCCCATAATGAATCTAGGCCGATTTAAGAGTTGCGATTGCATTTCGTATTTAAATTTTCATTTTTTTTATAAATCCAATTCACTTGAAATTTTGAGTGGCTATTTTTAATCTAATAAAACTATTTAAAAGTAATTTATAAAAATAAATTGATCAAAATACCCCTAAAATTTACATGTGTATTTATTTTTTGTGAATAATTGTTTTACTATTTTTATTAGGTGCACAATGATGAAAAGAGTGGACAATTTAAATTTCAAGTGATATGGATTTGTGGAAGAAAAATTAAAATTAAAATACAAAATACATTATTCCATCAACCACCAAATTTTACATCTAGTGGTCAAGATTAATTGTGACCACCTTGTACCAAAGGTAAAAATGACCTCATTATTTACTTTCCCATATAACAAATCTCATTATATACTTTCCCAAATAATTGACAAATCAAAGTATTTATGTAAAAAAACTAAATATAATTGTGCCTGATTTCTCTAATTTGTCTGGATGGGTGCAGTCACTTAAAAAGCGGGTGTCAAGGCTAAGGTTTAAAAACTCGATGGTTCGACTTGGAGCCGCCGGAGTCGTACCTGGCAGGTACCTAGTCCCGATTTTTCTCCCCAACTTGGGGCCTCAGCCTAGAACACCAAGAAATTATATTAACAAAAAAAAAATAATTCTAGGACTACAATTTTTAGGATAAATTACAAGCTCCTAAACGTTGTTTAAACATTTTAAAAATGTAGAAATTTTGTTGCATTGTCTTATGCTTTCTGACATTGTTAGAAGTAGTGAGAAACTGAAAATGATATGACAACTTATAACCTCACTATGAGTATGATCCTTGATAGAGTAAAATAACGGACCAAAGTTTATATGACCGACCCCAAATAGTTAGGAAAAAGCTATGATGATGACAATAATGCCTCATGCTCTTTAATTTGCGTGAGTGCTAAAACCGGTGGGTGACCCATCCAACCCACTGGTCTGATTTTTTAAACACTATAACGACTATACCACTTAGTATATTCTATCAGTATGGTAACTATCATATTGTTACTATCCTATTTTGCTTCAATACTCCTCATGAAGCCTCTCAAAGGAAGAAATCTATCTATATCTATTATCCAATTGGTAAAGCAAATCTGAAATATTTGTTGAAGCCTCTCAAAGGAAGAAATCTATTCTATATCCATTGTCCAATTGGTAAAGCAAATCTGAAATATTTGTCGAAATCCAACTGTAATTCTCATTGTACAAACTCAACAAGAATGGCAGAGCTACGAATCGGACATGGGCTTGATTGTTTAAGGTGTGTCGCCTGCAATGCTTCTTCCCAAGTTTGAATCCTACTGTTGAACCGCGAAAGAACAGAAGATAAGAATGGTAGAACTTGTAATCCACCTAAAACTTGGCTGACGAAATCTAGTCATACAGTTTCCGCTAAATCAGTATTTGAAAATAACAGATCCAGAATGGGACTCAACTGATCCAGATCAAAAATCAGTGTTCACTGGTCTAATTCGTGGACAGGATCAGAAATCACTGGTCTAATTCCTAGACTAAGTTGGCGAGTTGGCCCTATAGCTGGTCATATAAATATATTTACAAATATCATATCTTTTATTTGAATATCTGAAGTAATCAAGGAAACACATGAAAGAGTTTCCCCCCCCCTTAATTATCGCTTTTATTTATTTATTTATTTATTTTCTTCATTGGATATTGAGGTTCCCAATCTGGATCGTTGATCTAGCTGATCCAGATCAGAATTAGTTAATGAGTGATCCCCCCCACAGATCCGTGTTTTCAAACACTGCTCTACATTGTTCAAAAAGAAATCCTCTGCATCTCCCTTATCCAAACCTAAGGCCCCTGTGATTGCAAATATCCATATTTCAAGATAAAAACACCACAGGTGCAATTGAAAAGGACCCTACTTTCCACACTTCATAAATGCTCACCACCCTTCCATATGATCACCCCATCTCCTCTCTTCTGTTTGAAGTCCCTCATTGCTTCCATACCCAGGCATTTATCAAAGTTAAAAAAAAAGAAAAAAAGAAACATGAAATGCAAATAATAATAATAAAAATCATAATAATGAAGAACATGCTATTATCAATTTGACTGCACACACACGTACGCGCATGGGCACGCACACACACAAAATTTTGCACACCATGTTTCACATGGATTATTGCCAAATAATTAGATCCTTTTTAGTATTTGAGTAAACAAATCAACTCAGAGATGACAAGCATCTCGAGAAAAGTTGTCATCATTTGCAATGCATAACTCGAAACGTATGAGCACCAACTAATTACCATAAGCATTTGAGTAACTTTTGAGTCTTTGACTGTTGAAAAACTCAAATAATAATAAGCATTTCAGTTTACTAGTTGCATGAGTCGTCCAAATTCCCTCGAAACTAACTGAAATATCAGCTGTAGACTAAATTTTCTAACGATAATAAGGTTTAGTTTTGTAAAATTTAAGAGCAGGGCAAAAGCTCAACATATTTGCTAAACTTGCACAAGAGGTGACAATCATATATTTTTCTTTTCTTGTTATGAATGGCATAAAGCCCAAAGTATATAACAGAGCAACTTCACAGGATTGTATAAATGCATGTTCTCTTCAGCCAATTTATTATAGCATTTCCTTCACCAACACCACCCATATCAGGAGCAAAAGAAAGGATAGAGATACCCACACAACTATAGGTTTTAGGGTGCCTATGAGGTTACACCAAAGACACGGATCCTCTGATCAATCAGGACACCACAAGAAGGGCAACTCTTCTTGGCCTGTTTCTCATGTGATTCACTGCAATCCGCACACAAGATTTGATGGGCACATGGCAAGAAAACAACTGAGACTTTGTCTCTCATGCAAATTAGGCATTTCCTCTCGCGACCCACTTCCCCTTTTGACGATTCTTGAAGCTCCCAGAGTTCTTGAAGTATCTGATTGTCTGTTTCTTTCCATGCCTTTGTGCCATCTCTATCAGAAGAGTTTTTGGAGCCATTCATCTTAGCAGATTCAGCATATGATTTGAGGCGTGAATGTTCTTGTTCCAATCTTTGGATGTCATCCTTGTGTCGTTGAAAGTCTATCTCTATCTTACGACGCAAAGCCTCTTGCCTTCTTTTGATGGAAACCTCAGCCGCTTCCTTGGCCCTTCTCACCTCCTCAGCCTGTGCAATTGCTTCTTCTCTGGCCTTCATGTCCAGCTTCCATTTTATCTGAGCAGCAATTGGGATTCAAAAATAGGTCCGAAGACAGCTCCAAAACCATATAAGTGATGAACCTTTGCAACGGTTCTCAAAGTGGCATTGCATAAAGCAATAAGATATTATATCCGACTAGGAGAAAATGTGTGGAAACAAGAAATAGCTAATATTTTCCAACCTCAACTCAGCCCAAAACCCTGAAAAAGAAAAAAAGAAGAAGAAGAAGAATTGCAAACATCTAGATCTAGACAAGTGAAAGAAAAAAGATGAGGAGAAAGTGGATTCTCCTGCAATTCATGAACTCGCCATGTCTGTGCCATATCTTGTATCATCTGTTTCTGCAGGCACGTGTGTGTACATGTGTGTGTGCTGTATTTATTGCTTGTTAGCATCCAATATTTACTTAGACATAGTGAAGGTGTGATATCTCAAGAAACCAATTTAGAAATCTTGCCCAAGAAAGAGATCCTTTTAGACAGAAGGAAACAATCTTATGCACAAAGTGTTGCAATCAAAGAACATGCATAACATAAGCAAACATATGAACTAGCAAAAACTCATGAATTTGGGAGTTAACATAAAGAAAATAAATTTCTTGAGTTTGTGAGCTGTGACTTGATTGACTCACCTCAGTTTCTTTATGTAACTCCTTCGTGAGAGACAACTGCTGCTGCAACTGTATGATCTTCTGTTTTTCTGCGGCAACCTCTTCCTGCAACTTAGTCTTTTGTTTCTCCCATGCCAACAGCCTCTTAAGACACTTCTTTTCTCTCTTTGCAACCTCTAAACAAGTAGAAACTGACTCCGCTGCACTTAATTTTGATGCCTCCATTTCTGCCCTTATCTCTGCATTCTCAGTTTCTAATTTCCTCACAGCCGCATTTGCTCGATCAACCTGAGCGCTTGCTTTCCTCAGGGCATTTTCGAGGTCTGAGAGCCTCTTCATGGTTGTGTCCTCGAGAGCCTGCTTTTGTCCTTTCTTAAGAAGCAAAGTCTCATCCTTCTCGATTCTCAGGGTTTTAAGCTCTGTGAGATCATTGCTCAGCTTTCTCGCAGCTTGCATTGCTTTCTGATGAGCCCAATCAATCCTCTCTTTAAGCTGCCCCTCCAAATCTCTTATCTGATCCATCAACTTCAATAACATCTCATTTCTGGGGTCATCTGATCCATTTTCTAATTTCTCATCTAAATTCATGTTCTCTAAGCTACCCAACAGGTAATTCACCATATCTGAGAACGAATTAGCCCTTGATTGGTCATTTGCGTCTGGTAAATCATTATCCAAATTCTTCATAGGGATAGAATTCTCCTTGCCAGAAGCCACCCATGTCTGTACTTTCTTGTTTAAACAAACAAGAGGAGAATGCTGGCAATTTGGCGACGGATTCGAGGAAGCATGAGCTCCCAACTTTAAATCTCCTAAACCTCGATGATTGTAACTTGCCATGGTCCTTTTCAATACAAGCTTCATATGAGGTGATATGCAAAAACTTAGTGGGAATTCAGTAAGAGCAGTACGTTTAAAAGTTGAATTACGTGGAGCTGAACTACTCATAATTCCATTAGAAGGAGTTGGAAGGGAATCAGGCTGTTGGGTATTGCTGGTTGTTTGAGAATGCGAACCAAGGGAGGAAGATGGGTTCATTGGTAAAGGAGCTGTAGGGGAATCCAAATTATGGGTATCACAAGTCTGAGATTGGGAACCGACTGATGAAGATGGATTCATTGGTAATTGCATCAAGTCCCCATTTTCAGGGCCTGAAGTATTACCTTCAGGTTCGAGAGTGCCCCTATTGGTACAAGGGGGAGGCAAACATGGTATGTCAAGAGTGCTTGCACGACCCACATGGAGATCACTCATGAGTAAGCACCACATTGCATCTCCCTTGCTTAATTGGGGTCGGACCTGTTGAAGCAAGCACACCATGCCTGCTAAAGAGTACTCCTCTAATTGCTTTAAATCCGCAAAAACCAGTTCAGATTCATCAGTGGTTCCATTACTGTTCAAATACGATAGAGTGTTTTGAAGGATATTCGATAGCACATCCGAGCTTCCATAGCAATGGCCTTTCTGGAGAACTGCTTTCAAAGCAGTTTCTTCATCATATCCTAAAGAAACAAGCTTGCAGAGAGCTTCATTGTAGAGGAACTCCAGATTTTTCAGTAATAGGTCTTCTAATTGACTCTCAGTGCAGTAACCCCAGTCGCTCTCATCCATTTCACTAAACTCATGCTTTCTTTCATTCCCATCTCCAATATCAGTGTAATTAAACAGTTTGGGCAGGCCCATGTCCAATGGAAATGAGGATTGTTGCAAACTCGATTCTGATAAATTTGAGGAGCACAGAAGACCCAATTCTGAAAAATTCGAGGAATTTTGAAGACCCATTTCTGATAAACTTGAGGAATTTTGAAAACCCATTTCAGATGAATTTGAGGAATTTAAAAGGGAAGGATGCAATAAATTTGAGGGTTTTTTGTCACTTGTAATGGTTTCATTGGCCTTCATTGCTATACCTGAACTCGGTCGATGTTTTCTACTGTTTCTGATGATTTTCTCCCTTACTGTAATACCCATTATCCTCAAATACAAAAATTTTATTCTTTATGAATAATAGAACCAAGAAACCTGATAAAACCAAAGAAAACAGATCAGAGATGGAAATGAGTTTGTAACTGATATTATATGAAGAGAAACTCAAAAGAAAAACTCAATATCCGAATTCCCCAAGAAAAACAGGAATCCTTTCTTATTTATGAAGAAGAAGCTTAATCCCCCAAAAACTCGATTTATTCAGATTAAACTAAAAAATCCAAGACCAAGATAAAAAACGCAATTCAGAACTGATTCTAGAAAATACAAATCAAAATCACAATCGCAAAGTCCCTGACATTACTGATGGATAACAGGAACCAACATCAAATCAAAAACGTCAATTATGTTTCTTTATCAAAGATATAATGAACAACGCCAAGAATTAACTCATTTTCTAATCAAATTAAAAAGAAGAAATGCCGTCAAAATATTCACTTCTATGACGATCAACAATTGGGGCAGATAATCATACCTATTGAGCTCGAGATCAGTAGATAATTCTACGGATTTTTGCTGAAATCGCAGAGAAAATCATTCAATAATTAAACCAAAATTTAGAGACAATAAAACAAGAAAGTTTTCAATAAACGCATCAAATTCAATGGAAACTTCAACTAAGTTAAAGAGAAAATAAGAAGAAAAACTTACCGGTAATGGTTTTGAGTATGAGAGCGAGACAGAGAGAGAGAGAGAAAGAGCATGGATGGGGAACCCTAAAAAGACGAGAGACGCAATACAATATTTACACAAACATTACCGAAACTAGCCATAAAGAACCAATCTTGTCAGGCCCATTTAACAGGACAAATAAAAGGGTACGCACCTTGAAAAAGACGACAATGCCCCTCACATGTTGGGCTTTTTAAGCCCCAGAACCGGAAGCCCATTTGTTGAGCGTTATTGCCCTCAATAGTTAGGCATTGAATTTGCTTAAAGCCCTTTGGGCCTTGGAGCATTCGCCTTTGTGTTGGGCCTTTGCTAGAGCCCTAGGAAAAGGCTCATATTAAGTGCATGCATGAATGGTGTGGGTACACAATAAACTGGACTGAGCCAATGTGTGCGTTTGACCTATGAATCATGCAAGTCGGTCTACAGTGTACATGCCAACCTCTTCATTTTGTGTCGTCTCTAGCCACATCTTTATAGCTTCAACGTCTTGGTCGCATCGATTACAATTTTTATTTTCTCATAATGTTTGGTTGCAATAGTTCTCGATTACAATTTTTATTATCTCGTAATGTCTTTGGTACTATTGGATGTTCAACATTATAATACTTATATACTTGCTAAATCGCATGCTTTATCTTTCTCTGGAAATAATTTCATTCCATCTTTTATATTTAATCTTGTAAGTCCTAATATGTGGGGTCCTGCATCTATTCTATTCTAAAGAACGCATGCTCTCTCTCTCCCCCCTCCACTACAATTGCATGATGTCTAATGAACTCTTCAATCTCTGTATGAGTGCAAGAGCTTTCTCTCATGTTTCTCTAGGAATGCAAGATTTCTCTCTCTCCACACCCCATGAATGATCCTATGAATGCTTGATGTCTCTCTCTCCAAACACCTATGACTGGGTGACAACTCTACTCTCAAAGAAAGAATGCATAATATCTGTCTCTCCATGAATGCATGATCTCTCTCACACAATGGCTTCTCTCTCTCTCTCTCTTTTTGAACAAGACACTCATTTGAAAGCTAGATGGAGGCCTCTAACCAAGTAATACAAGTCGGGTAAACATGCTCAATAAGGACACCATGACCTATGGGTTTATCGCTAACAAATTTAATACGTTGCGATGCAAAGAAATAAAGGTTTCTTTCTCTCTGTTTTTTTGGTATTTTAACGGAGGGAATGAAGGGTGGGACGTTATCTTGAGGTATCAGCTCCCCTAATTACTTATGCCTTAACTCAATTCCTGGAAGTAGGGGATTTTTTTTTTTTTTTTTGAAAAGTACGCAATAGCTAATTCATTAAGGTAATGAAATTACATAACAAGTACCAAAATGAAAAGTAGGGAACTATCCATTAGTTGAAATTTATCCAGTAGGACTCTCTCTTCCAACGTGCCACTCAACAATTGATAAGACAGTGATAACCACTAGGTTATAAAGTTTTTATAACCATATGCTTGCTTCGTATATTCGGTGGGGCCTCGTAAGGCATGAGCTCGTCCAATCGAATATTGACAAGTGCACAGAGCACCTATGCGCTTCAAAACATTCAGGACTAATCAACATTCGGACCCGAATGTCATCCAGGAATGTGTTTCATGAGCATACATGTTGAAAACTTGAGGGAATAGATGGACCTACTCCCAAGATTAGGGGCAGTATAGTGAGACTATCGATTGCAGCGATCGGGCTTTTACCAGAACTATGAGAACTCTATAAATTTCTGTATCTCTCTCCATGGCCATGAAACCCTTCTTAAAGAGAGATGGAGGAGGTCGTCCTCCAACGTTCGGCTTCATCCTGAAATCTCTGAGAAAACGTGGCCCTGTAATCCTGGGAAGTGGGTGGTTACTTTCTAGCTGTTCGATAACGGCACTCTCTCTCTAAGAAGCCTCCCTTTTTAAGAGATAAACATTAAATTATAAGAGAGAGAAATATTGGACGTTTAAAGGCCCCATGGCCACATATACGTACCAACATCTCTCACTTGACCATGAACGCCAGATATATTGAAATATTATAAAGTCTTTACCACTCAATGAATTTAACATTTATGTGCATATTTTTGTCATGAGGCTTTCACGCAAGTGCGGTTATATATCTCATAACAAAAAATATTGAAGCCATGCCATGGTTTTTTATGCTAATGTAGTTTTTCCTCTCATGACTAAGACATCAAAAAATATCCCATTTAGGAGTTCCTGACTTAAATATTTTCAAGTTCCATCAAAGCTACATACTTTGAAAATATTTCTGCACTCAATCCCTTTGTTAAGGGGTCTACAATCATATCTGAAGATGACATATAACTTACAGTTATTTCATTCTTTTCAATAATATCATAAATATAATGATAATTAATTTCAGTGTGCTTACCTTTGGAACTATAAGCTCCATTTCTAATTGATGAAATAGCAGCCTGATTATCACAAAAAAATTTAACAGTTCCGTCAGCTATATCCTGCTTCAAATCATTTATGAAGCGTTTAATCCAGACGGCATAAGTTGTAGCAATGCTACAAGCAATATACTCGGCTTCCATATTATATCGAGCTACACAACTTTGTTTCTTACTAGACCAAGAAACACATTCACCTCCAAAGAGGAATACAATTTATGAGGTTGATTTTCTATCATCTGGGTCTCCTGTAAAATCTGCATCAGAGTACCCAGTAACCTTTAAGTTGTCAGCTTGGAAGCACAACTTGTAATTTTTAGTTTTCTGAATATATATGAGTATCCTTTTTACAGCTTGCCAATGAGCTATCCCAAGATTACTCTGAAATCTACTTACAAGACCATATGCATGACTCAAATTAGGTCTTGTACACAACATGACATAATTTATGCATCCTACAACTTGAGCATATGGAATTCTTTCCATTTCAGCTTTGTCACTATCATTTAATGGACACATTTTCTTTAATAATTTCAAGCCTTTACAAATATGTGTATCTATGGGCTTGTAATTTTTCATCTTAAATCTCTTTAAAACACATTCTAAATTATTTTCTTGAGATAAACATAGAAGTCTTGAACTTCTTGTTATATTAATGCCCAATACATATGAGGCTTTTCCCATATCTTTCATCGCAAAATGAAACCTTAGCCATGATTTGGTATGGTTAATCATGCCAATATCATTACCGGCAATCAAAATGTCATCCACATATAGTGACAATATAACAAAATTGCTCCCACTATTCCAGACGCATATACAATGATCTAACATATTGGCTATATAACTAATTTCAGTGATTGGATTATGAAAAGTAAAGTACCAATGCCTAGAAAACTGTTTTAAACTATATAAAAATTTATTAAGTTTATATATATATATCATTCTGATTGTTTCATGTATATATCTTTCTTTAATTCTCCATTTAAGAAAGCTGTTTTGACATCCAACTGAAATAATTCTAGATCATAATATGCAACTAATGCAAGAATGATCCTAATAGAGGAAAATTTTGCTACTGGAGAATAAGTTTTTACATAATTTTTGCCCTCCCTTTGGATAAATCCTTTGGCTACCAACCTAGCTTTATATTTATCAATAGATCCATTTGCATTAAGCTTTTTCTTTAGGACCCATTTGCAACCGATGACTTTTCTATCTTTAGGGAGGTCAACCAACTCCCAGACTTGATTTCTTTTAATAGAATCAAGTTCATCATCCATGGCTTGAGTCCACTCAGCTGAGTCATATGAGCTAATAGCTTCACTTTAGCTACAAGGTTCATCTAATGTATCATCACTCATTGAAGAGTAATTATCTTCATTCATAAATACATAAAATTCTTCTAAAGTCGTAGGTGGGGCTATAGTTCTTTTAGGCATATCTGGTATACTTGATTCAATTGAATCATTCTCACCAAATGTAGAGGGAGTCTGAGAAACAGGGTCTTCTAGACCCTTATCTTTATCAATTTCATGTAAGTCAATAAACTTATTTAAAATATTTTCATCATCTATATTTTCTAAGAAATGAGCATCACGACTCTCTACTAATGATCTAATATCATGGTTATAGAATCTATACCCTATAGAATTTTTGAATAGCCTATAAAAGAGCATTTTATAGTTTTAGTTTGTAATTTATATCTATTTTGTGGTGGTATAAGCACATGTACTCAAAAACCCCAAACTTTCAAGATAGTAAGGTCAAGTTTCCTACCTGTCCATAATTCATATGGGGTCAAGTCTATAGATTTAGTTGGAACACGATTAATGATATATATTGCAGTGTTGAGAGCATCTCCTCAAAAATGAGGTGATAAATTTGAATGGCTCATCATGGACCTAACCATGTCCATTAGAGTTCTATTTCTCCTTTCAGCTACACCATTTTCTTGTGGTGTATGTGGCATAGTTGTTTGGTGAATTATACCATACACCTTACAAAATTCAGAAAATAACGTGAAGCAATATTCACCTCCCCTATCTATTCGAAGAATTTTAATATGTCTACCTAACTGATTTTCTACCTCAACTTTATATTCTTTAAATGTTTTTAATGCATCTGATTTCTTACTAATTAGGTATACATATCAATCGTCTATAAATGTTATAAAATATTTCATACCTTTATGTGTTTTCATATTTAATGGGCCACATATATCAGAGTGAACAATACTAAGTAGTTCACTAGACCTTTTCCCTTTAGGAAAAGGCTTCTTAGTTAATTTACTAGAAATACATGGCTCAGATGTTTTGAACACAATTTCTCCTAAATTGGGGAGCAATCCCCTTTTAACCATTTGATTCATTCTGTCTTTATTTATATGTTCTAATATTAAGTGTCATAAATATGAATCATCCATACACATAAAAGCATCAAAAGAAGCATCAATATAACCAGAAAATGATGAACTTTCATTAATATTCTGTCGGTACAAATTGCCAACTTTAGTACTGCACACCAAAGCTCTAGAATGCTTCCCAATAGTTACCTGACCAGACCTGAACCTTATTTTATAACCCTTGTTGTCTAGCTTTAGGACAGAAATCAAATTGCACCTCATATTTGACGCATACAATGTATCAGTCAATAAGAGATTTGTTCCTCCTGGTAAACACAGCTTGAAAGTACCAACACCTA